AGAAATAGCTCTGCAAACCTGGTTGGCTGCTGGATTCTGACACATCAGTCTGGGTTTGTGGGTCCTGAAACAATTTCCTGGTTTGTCCACTGTCCAAACCCCCACGTCCCTGCAGCCCCCTTGGGGAAGAGCACAAGGGAGGGCTCCAGTTGGGAATTGTCTTTCCTAGGAAGCACCCCCACTCCCACCCACCCCCATGAATCACTGTCTGGGGCTCTTTGGCCTGAGCACCCACGTCTAGGATGGGGCTGAGGACCCTGCACTTGGGAAGAAGATTCCTGTTCCCTCCCTCCTTTCCTGGCTCCTCCATCAGCACCACTGGGGCTCCCAGTCTCCCCAAGCCTCAGAGCGCCCTTCCGCCTCCTCCCTGTTGCCCCCCACCCCCCAAAGTGCTCCTAAGAGCGCTACAGTCAAGCGGGGTTATTTTCAGCGCTGCGATTTGAGCACGGCCCACCCAGCTTAGGTCCAACCTTCCAACTTTCTGCTGCTGTCTGGAAAGCCAGGCAGCTCCCTGCTGGCTTGCTGGTCTGGGCTTGGCCGTGCCAGGCCCTCCTGGCTCCCGGACAGGCCCGCTGGGAGGAGGGGTCCCCGATTCGCCCCCTTGTGTACGTGCCGTGTGGCGCTTGGTGCCTGTGTGTGAGAGTGTGTGAGCCTCGGGCCCCACCCGCTCCGCACGGGCACGTGGCAGGGGTGTGGGGATGTGCCAGTGCCCGCCGCGCCGGGGTGTGCGCAGGCCCGTTCACGTGAGCGTGCCTGTGCTGCGAGTGTGTGTGAGCGTGACAATGTGGTAAGTTTGCACACTGAGTCCCTGGCAGTTCCTCTTCTGTCTTCTTGTTTCTCGTGAACGGTTTGATTAAACTCAGGAAGCAGCAAAACCTCCAAAACATCACACGTGTGTTGGGGTGTATGCGGTGCCCCCCGAGCCACCCTGCCTCTGTCCGGCTCTGCCCTCCTGCTGCCCGGCCTAGGCCCCCTCTCGCTGCCGAGTCCTCGCCTCCCCTTTGCTCTGGCTCCTCCATCAGACCTGCTGCCCCGCCCTGCTCTCCGGGGAAGGAGGCCGCCTCCTCGCGCCAGGAGGTCAGGCCAGCCGTGTCCCTGGCCCGCACCCTGCCCGCTGCCTTTCCTGCCCGCCCCGGGCCGGCGTGGCCCCCAGAGCTGCAGCACCTGTGGGACAGGACGTCGCGCAGATCTCGGGCTCCCCTGCAGACCCACACCCAAGCCGCCGAGTCCTGGTGGGAAACAGGTGCAAGCCAGGCCGACCGCCTGGGTCCTTTGTACAGTTCTTATAATAAAGCCTCCCCGTGGCGCCTGGGACGTGCGGGCGTCTTCCTTCTGCGCCGCTGCGTGCAGACCCAGACCGGCCGGGAACAGCCAGGAGGACGGGAGCCAAGTTGGGCAGACAGAGCGAGCCTCTGGGGTCGGGGAAGGCAGGATACGCTGGGCCCCACTCCCTCCACCAGGAGGAGGCTTGGAGCCCAGCCTCCTGCTCTCCTCCCCCACCGGCGGCCCCGCGCCTCTCCCCACCCCCGACAGCTCCAGGAACGAGGCCCTAGGACCCTGCGTCCCAAACCCCTCGTCTCTGGAAGCCTCCTTCTCTGCTCCCCCAGAGGCCCCAGTTGTGGGGCTCACAGTGTGGGCCCTCCCTCCCCTCAGAGAGCCTCCACAGGACCCCGACCCCAAGAGCCCAGGGTTCCATGCGTTCTAGAGTAGGTTCAACCCCAATCCCAGTGGGCCAAAGGCAAGTTTACATGTCATCTTCTTTCTACAACTGGATTTCTGACTCCAAAAGGAGGGCGGTATTCCTCCACACTAGCCAACAATGAGGCAGGGTTTCTGCACCCCCTTTTTTCCTGCATTCTGGGGTGACATGGCACACAAAAGGAGGGGACTGACAAATTTGACCCCCCAGGCTTCCCTGTCAAGTTCCTCTGCCAGCCACGTGTCTCCGCCTGGCCCCGAAGTCCCTTCACATCTTTTTTTTTTTTTTTTGAAAGATTTATTTATACAAGAACTGGGGTACAGGCCAGAGGCACGGGAGGTGAGAGGATTCACCAGAGACAGAGTGGGGAACAGAACAGGCAGTTTGACTGAAATACACTGCTGAGGGGAGCAGCGGGCGAGACAGGAGAGGTCTGCTGCACCATGTGGGTACCTCCCTGGCAGGCCGGGAATCGAGCTCACACTGCAGAGGCTGCAGCCAGCTTCATAGCGCTGGGCTCAGCCCACTGGGCCACCAGGGAGGCCCAGCCCCTTTGCATCTTGCAGCCCCTTTGTGTGTGGGGGGGGTGGGGTCTAGCATCCCTGCTGGGTTCTCTGAGCTCCTCACCAGGGCTCTGAGGAGCAGAGCCTTTCCTGGGCAGGCGCTCCTTCTCACTTCTCAGCAGCCACAAGGATAGGAGAGCTTGCAGGCCCCCAGCACTGCCCCTGGGCGGAAAATACAGATGCCAAAGGCTGATCTTCCCAAACCTGCCTCCTCCAGCACCCCCAACCCAGCCAGGCCCTGATGACCTGGCCGCCTGGTTCTTCACTAGGATTTCCGGGGTCTCAAAACTGCCTTGTGAAGGGCATATTGTCACCTTTATTTCACACAAATGAGGCGACTAAGCTGCTAGCAGAGTTGCTTAACTGGGGTGCTATTGGGCAGGTAGACGGCTTTGTGAGACACTGTCCCTGCCACCGCGGGGCCTTTGGTGCCATCAGCCCTGGATGCCAGTGGCTCCCGTCGGTCACTGTGACCATTGCACCAGCCCTGGTGGATTTCCAAATGCTCCCAAGTGTGGCAGTACCACCCCTTCTTAGGAACCAGCAGGCAACTTTCTGGCTGGTGCCCTGCAGGCCAGGATCCAAGCCTGTGCCCTCCTGAACTGGCAAGACCCTGGCCGGACAGCTAGTCCAGCAGATCTGGGGGAAGGGGAGACGCCGGGAGGGGCCGGGGGCCTGAGTCCTTATTTCCAAACTGAGGTCACCTCCCACCCTTCCCAGAGTGGCTGGGGTCCCTGCTCTATTGCTTTTCCAAGTCCTGAGCTCCTTGTCTTTCCCCGTCCATCACTCCCCCCTTGTTTTGAGGCTGTCTTCCTGGAAAGGTGGGGTGGGGCTGCCAGATATTGGGGTTTGCAACCAGGGTAGCCGGGGGCTTACGTTAGGAGGCCTCCTGTTCTGGGAAAGAAAGGGCGTCACGAGCCCCATTCAGAGCTCAGCGCTGTTGTCACTGGGGAGGGAACAGCACAGCCCCAACTGTGACAAATAACCCTGTGGGCGATGGGGAGCCCATTCCCCCACCCGCTCCTGCAAACAGATCCTGGCCTGGCATGAATGGGAATGAAGTCCAAAGGACACATTTACATCCCGCCCTCGGGGGATGTGGACGTATGTGTGTTTGGAAGATGCCAAGCGCCCCCCCTCCCAGCCCCTGGGCCCCAGGACCCGCTCCTGGTCAGGCCCCCGCCACACTGCCTGGGCCGGGTGCCATGTGAGCACACACAAGCACAGAGCCCCAAGCCTCCCCCCTCATCCTTCCAACTTTTGGGGCACACTAGCCCCAAAGCTAACCACGGTCCCCGTCCCCAGGAGGTAACCTGCTAAAGGTAGAGACCCCTGGGTCTGCCCCCCCCCCCAGTACCTGGGGCCCGCGGTCCCCAGGCTCACCTCAGGTGATGTTTATATTCCTGGGCTGTTTGTTCTGTGACCTGAACATCTGACACCTTTTCAGAGAAATGTTTTTTCATTGGGAACATCTGGAAACAGCAAGAACATCTGGGGCTGCCCAGAACGAGCTGTTCCTTGGATGAAACCGTAACCATCCTGGCCCCACTTTCCACGGCTCAGTTCTCCTCAGGGCCGGCCCCCCACGTGCCCGGGACACCTATGCCAGGACCTGAGGGGTCAGCACCCAGACCCCTGCCTTCCTCACCGCCAACGCAGGCACGGGAGGTGGTTACTCATGTCCCTAAACCTGAACAGACCCAGTGACAACTAAAGCCTGGGAGGTGGCGGGGAAAATGGGATTCGGCAGCTTCTCCTCCTGAGGGCAGGAGACAGCGCGCAGACAAGAGTGAGAAGAGAGGGAGCAGGGAGTGGTGGCACAGGGCCCGACTGTGGGGCTGGGGGATGCCTGCCTGCTGTGTACAGCTGTGCGGACTGCAACGGCCCAGGGAACCCTCCTCGTGGGGCAGGGGGTGAGGGCTGGGTCCCACCCAGGGGCAGGGGCAGAGAGTCGAGCTCCTGCACACTGTGTTTCCAGCCAACGTGCTGCTAACTGGCAAGATCAAGCCACAGCCTTTGAGTTTCTGACCCTCAGGGTTCCCCCCACACAAACCTCCAGGCCACCACCCAAGAGCCCTGCAGCTGTAAACAGCAGCTCTGCTCACTGAACGGAGGGTTTTCTCTAAGCCCTCTGCACCCAAGCCCCCCCCCGCCTGTGGCAGCTCCCAGTAAACCCCCAGCAAGCGAGGGAGGCTCAGTTCCCCAAGCCCAACATGGCTGCCAACCAAGAGGCTGTGCTCTAGGCCCCTTCAGGTGCCTGGCCTGGGCCCATAGCTGCCCCCAGCACCCTCGGGCCTCTTCCTGCAGGCCCGTCCAGGGCAGAGGGGCCCCGCTGACACACATCCCCAGGGCCCAGGCGTATTCAGCCAAGAGCTTGGGAATACAGATCCCGGGCCGGAGGCTGGGGGCCCTCGCGTGACCGTTAGTGGGTTGGAGACATTGTGGGCAGCCCACAGAAGACTCAGAGGTCCCTGGCTCCCACCAATGCCCACTGTGCACCCCAGCTGTGGAGCCCAAAGGGTGAACTTTGAACCTTACAGCCCAGCTGACAAGAGAGCCTGCCTTCCCCCAGGGTCCCCAGAGAGCGGGTGCCTCCCTTGGGTCCCCATTTGCATGGCAGGAAGAGGCCTGATGGGGAAGAGGCGGGGAGGGCACAGGCTGCAGTCTGATCAGTTACACGTTTTCCCCTGGAGCCTCGGTAGTTACTGTGAGCTTGGGGCCAGACTCGGGCGGCGACCATGGCGGGGCTGGCGCTGTCTCCCATGCCCAGCGCCTGGCTGGCGGTTCTGCTGCTGCTCCTTTCAGGTAGAGCCCCCCCCCCGCCCCCTCCCCAAACATGGCCTGCTGGTTCCGCTGTCTGTTTCCACTGGTTCTGTCTCCAGCGTTCTTCCGCCTCCTCTTCTGTCTCTTGCACTTTCTGCCTCCCACCTCCCTCCGACTGCTCTGGGGCCTGGGTCTGTTGTATCAGTCAGGCTAACCGTGGCCAGCATTGGACCCAGCCCCTCTCCTGCCTGGAGAGTGTCAGGCTGAGCTGGGCTTGAGGGGTCGTGGTATGACATGATGGGGAAGAACTGGGCCCAGGAGGGAGAGGAGTGTGGTGCACCCCAGGCAGGCTCTGAGGGCACTGGGTGCGGGAGGCAGGGGACCCCTGGAACACGCTTCATGTTCCAGAAGAGGTTCCGTGTCTGGAAGAGAGAGTCCTCCCAGCTGTGCCTTCCTCCTGTCAGGCGCCCTCCACTCAGGCGCCCTCTGACTGGTCAAAGGCAGGGGAGGGCTGGGAAGCAGGTCAAATGGTGCTCCCGTCTCTAAGAAACAGGAGTCTACTCCAAGACAGGAGTCTGCTCCTGTCTCCAAGAAACAGGGCCCAGAGTGTTGAGGGGCTTTGTTTTTTAAAAGATTTATTTTTATTTATTTATGCATACAAGAACTGGGGTACAGCCAGAGGGGCAGGGAGTGAGAGGATGCACCAGAGACAGAGTGGGGAACAGAACAGGCAGATCGACTGAAACACACTGCTGAGGGGAGCAGCGGGCCAGACAGGAGAGGTCTGCTGTGCCATATGGGGGTCAGCTCCCTGGCTGGGGATGGAACTCAGGCCATAGCAGTGGTAATGCTGAGACTCAACCCCTAGGCCACCAGCGAGGCCCCAAATTGAGGAGCTTTGAAGCTCACGGTTCGGGAGGAGGAAGTGGGTCTGGAGCGTGGAGGGTCTGCAGGGGGTGGGGCACCTCATCTTCTTCCTCCCACCCAGCAGGTGAGCCGGTGCCAGCAGCCAACTCAGGAAACCTGCACCAGAATTTCAGAGGTCAGCACCTTCACCCACCCCTTCTGGGGACAAGTGTGTCTGGGTCCAGTGCTGGTCACTGTCCCATGCTGCTTGTCCCCTGCATCTGCCCACCCAGGACTCCCCTCCCCAGGTCTCCTAGGGTCTCCCCCTCTGAAGCCTGGCTCTGAACGGCCACCTCCCCTGGCCTTCCCCTGTCACAAGCTGGTGTTTGTGCTCCCGTCCTGGCCACTGGGGGTGGGGGAAGCCAGAGGGAACCCCACCCGAACTCAGGCCCAGATCTGTCTAGCTGGGGAGATGGCCTCAGCTGTGGAAGGAACCCTGGGGACACTGACAGGCCACTCACTGGAAGGGAGGCAGGAGGGGGGCTTCCGGGGTAGGCGGGTGGGGAGAGCATGCTGGGCTGAAAAAAAGGGCTGAGGAGCAGGTCCAGGCAGGAGGGCAGCAGAAGGTGATGGAGGAAAGGCTAGCAGGGGACAGATGCGAGGGCCTCAATCGTCCAGCCAAGGCTTTGTCCTTTGTTCCCTAGGCAGTGGGGAGCACCCTCAGGGCTTCAGCGGGCAGGGCTGCCTGGGGCATGGAGGGGCGGGAGCTGCAGGCCAGGTGGGCCCAGGGGTGAACCGGGCTGCTGGAGTAGGCGTGCGCCCTGTCATCAGGTTCCAAGTCCTAAAGGAAAATGAAACGGGGTGTAGGGGGTTAGGGGGGAGCAGTCAGAGAGGGCGGGGCCCAGTGGTTTGACCTGTGGCCAATCACGAGGCCTGACTCTCCACACCTCTGCCTCCAGGTCTTTCCACACTGTAAGAAGAAGTGAGGGCCAAGGGGGTGGGTTGCTGAGCCAGGGGCCAGGCCCGAGGTCAGCTGGTGTCAGGAAGACATTCCCATCCCAGCCTTGGTGCCCACAGGAAGCGCTTGTTCCCGGTTGCGGCAGTCCCCACGTTTTGTGGCCAGGAAACGGGGTGCCAACGTGACAATAACGTGCCGCATGGAGAGCCAGGCCAATGTGACCTGGCTCTGGACACAGAAGATGGACATAGAGCCCACACCGCTGCCCAAGGAAAAGGGCCACATCCAGCAGAAACAGGACGACTACGTCTCCACCCTCATCATCCGGGGCATCCAGGCCCAGGACAGCGGCATCTACTTCTGCCAGCAAGAGTGCCTGTCGGAAGAGAATTCGGAGAGGGGCTGCGGCACAGAGCTTCGAGTCATGGGTGGGTGCGGGCCTCCCTCCCGCCCCAGGGTGAGGCTAGTGGAAGCAGAACGGGTGGGGGATTCTGGAGTTGGCCCCACCCCTGCCCACTCCAGCCTGACACCGGCAGAGGGGTCCACGTGCTCCAGGAAGATCTAGAGCTCCCAAGAAGACCACTGGGGAGCAAGCCGCGAGGGGCGCAGGTCCAAATGTGGGTCCCCAGCCTCACTGGCCCGCACCTCCCATCAGGGTTCAGCACGGTGGAGCAGATGAAGCGGCGGAACACGCTGAAAGATGGCATCATCATGATCCAGACCCTGCTCATCATCCTCTTCATCGTGGTGCCCATCTTCCTGCTGCTGGACAAGGTGACCACGGGGGCCGGGAGGCCAGTGTGGGGCAGGCCCCAGGGGCAGAGCTCACCTCCAGGCCTTGTTGCTGCCCTGTTGGCCCCGCCCCAGAGCCTGCTGTCGACTCGCCTATTCAGCACTCCCTCGTTCAGTCTGTTGTTCCTGCGGAGGGCACCCCACCCCTGGTCCTCACCCTCACCCCAGGCCAATCTCCCTGGCCCTCTCCAGCCTGCCCAGCAGTGGGTAAGGCGGGGAAAGCTAACACTGCTTTCCAACCCTTTCCCCAGGATGACAGCAAATCTGGGATGGAAGAAGATCACACCTATGAGGTAGGAGCAGGACACTCTGGAGTCCTGAGGGTCATGTGGTCAGCGGTCACCATTTTTGGGGTGTTTGGGGAGCAGGCAACACCTGAGCTTTCTATTCCGTGTCTCCAGGGCCTGAACATTGATCAGACAGCCACCTATGAGGACATAGTGACTCTGCGGACAGGGGAGGTGAAGTGGTCAGTGGGCGAGCACCCTAGCCAGGAGTGATGAGCAGCCTTCCCGATGCCTTGGGTGCAGCCTGCTAGGCCCTCACCGACTGCTTCAGAGCCGCCTGGCTCCCAGCCTGTCCCTCCGCCCCAGACCCGAATTGGTCTCCAAAATTGACCCACTGGACCCGCCTGCACCCCCAGGCCCTGGTCCCAACTCTCACAAGGGACAGGAGCACAAGGCCACAGGACAGTGGTTTGGAGCAAGACTTCTTTGGGGACAGACTGGACCCAGACTTCTGGGGGTGCTGTGTGGGGACCCAGCCCACATTCAGGACGGGGACGATGGAGAATGTGTGGAACCCGCAATGGACTCAGAGCAGACCAGCCTCCTCCTGCAGAGCCTGGGAACAGCCCGGCCCATCTCCCTTGGCCACAAATGGACTGCCAAGAGCTTCGTCCCTCTCCTGTCCTCTCCCGCGCTCTCCCACCAGGGGAGCCTTGAGTCCATTCTCCCGTGGAATAAACAGTGTGTTTTGAGGGACCACACGCAGGCTTGTGACATCTGTGGGCATGGGGTGGAGGAGAGTACTTATTTGGGCACAAGTGTTTGGGCACCTGTGGGCCCACAGGCGTGAGAGGGGCTGATGGACATGGGGCTCATGGGCCCCACTTGAGGCTCACTCCTGGGCTCACTCGAGGCTCCTCTCTGAAGGCCTCTTCCTCCTTGCTCCCTAGCGAGTCCAGAGCAGCTGGAGAGCCCCGAGGCAGGTGGGAGCAGGGGACCCTTCTCCTGCATACCCTTTAGCCAACAAGCAGCACTTGATTGCTGTTCCATGAGGAGGGAGCTCCACCTGAGGAGTTAGCCTTCCCCACCCACATCCTAGTCCTACTATCTTCAGAGCCCTCTGCCTGCAGGAAGTCCTCCCAAGATGCCCCAAGCCCCGTCAGGACCAGCCCCTGCAGCTCAGCGTAGCTACTACTGCCTCAGCTGCCAGGCTGGCTCATGCTGCAGTTAAACTAGAAGGTTTCTGAGGACAGGGTTCCCCTGCTTCGACCACACCCTCACCCCTGCCCTCCATCAAGCCTGCACATTATTTTAAGTTTGACTCAGAACCCTGTAAGAGAGAGGTACCCCTAAAGGGAGAGACTTTGGAGTGAAGTTTGGGGGGTTCTTAGTCAGATGATCCACTCAGACTTCCCCATTTTCACAGCAGAGGCTCCCTAGGGCCCTAAGGACCCCATAAAATGATCCCTGGGGCCCTACAAATTAGGGCCCCAAGCTGCCAGCTGTGGAGTTCTGGGAGTGGCTCACCACTGGGAGCCCTAGTTTAATTAGCCTCTGCATACAGGACCAGGTGGTGCTCCATTTCCTGTTGACCTTGTGGGGGTCCCCCAAACCCCTCTTTGCCGTTCACGCGCTGGACTCTGATGGGAGAAGGGCCTGCCCTCACGGAGCTGCCAGCTGAACTGGAGAACCACGCACCAGCATTCCCAGCTTCCCTAGGAGTTCCAGGTGGGGCAGGTGGCTGAGGCACCCAGGTCTGGGGCCTAAGCAGCTCAGTGGCATCCGCTTGGAATCAGGCTAGGTGAGCCGCGGGCCTGACTCCCTCCCTGGCTGCTGGTCCAGCGAGCTGGCTTGTTTTGGCATCTGCCTCCACTGAGCTGGAGCCCTTCCTCTCCTGCTGCTTTGCATAGTGGCGCTAATTCTGTCCTCTTACCTCCACCAGGGACCCTGGGCAGCCGGCTGGGGGGTGGGGGGTGGGGAGCATCTTCACTTCTCCCCCCTGCAGGGTCTCCCTCAGCCTGGACTGCCCCCGGTGGTAGGAGGCCTTGGCCTTACTGAAAGTCTACTTCGTATCTTTGAAGAACAGAGTTTCCCTAATGCTTGGAAGTGCTGTTGGCAAACAGCCTTGTGTACAGCAAAGCCTGCCTCCACCAGACACCCTCAGAGGGCAGGGCCTTCCTGGCTGTGAGGGAGAAGCCCGCCCTGGTCTGTTTTTCTGTCTTAAGGGCTTATACCGTGGGTGTTGTTGTGCTGGTCTCTGGAACCCCAGAGCTGATGTGGGCAGTGGAAGCAGGGTTGATGATGCCGGCGGTGCTGGGGACTGTCTCAGGGACAGGAGGTGGAAGCAGAGACTGTTTTTGAGTGAGTGGATCCCACAGTAAACTTGACTTTGTTTCCTACTGCTGTGCAGGTCTATGAACTCTGGCCTAAGTACCTGTGGGTGTCAGGACCATCTGCACATAGCACGTGAATGAAAATCTTTCATTGATCCTCAAAATATTTGTATATTGCACCCCTCTGAAATGTCAGAGCAAAACCAAAAATAAAACAAACAAGTAAAGGTAGTGAAATGCTATGCTATTTTATTCAGTGTCTCCACGTTCATTCCCATTATCTTGCCCGAGCCCCAGCAGAACCCCAGGGCCCGGCCGCCCCCTCCTCCTTTTATAAGTGAGGAAATGGAAGCCTCAGGGAACTCGCACAACCGGCCGAAAGTCACACGCCAGCATCCTTTCCACACCACAGAGTCTGGAAGGACTTTGAAGCACTGAGACTCTGAAGGCGAGGAGGAAGAGCAGACAGAGGAGCACCCCTGGGAAACTCTGGCCACCTCCAAAGGTTTCCCTGGCTTCACCAGCCCTGAAGCTCCGATGGCCCCCTCTTGGGGGGGGAGGGGCAATGTCGTGCCCCTGGGCCTTACGTCCGCCTTCCGCTGCGGAGCACAGCTCAGCTCAGGCCTGCCCCGCCCCAGAATGCAGCCCTGCCTGAGGCCCCTGGTGGGCACATGCCCCCTGCCCACTGGGGGAATCCAGCCAGTCCCCCGGGGCCCAGCCCGGTTCCTCCTCCATTGTAGCTTGACTTCCGCCGCTGTTTCGCTGCAGGTGCTGCCAGGCTGGGGGTGTTTTTCCAGCAGAATCAGAGGTGAGAGAAAAACAAAACAAAACATGAAAAGCTGCCTGTGTTTGACTGTCACGCCAGGCGCCCCCGCCTTCTGAGGAGGGTCTCCAAGGCCTTGATGGTTTGGGGATCCCAGATTCCACTGCAGGTGCCCTGCTCTCTTCCCACGTCTCAGTCACTGGCTTCGGAGCTGTGTCTGGGGAGTGCCTTGTCTGCACCCGCCGGCTCCAGGGCCAGGCAAATCCTGCTGTTGACTCCAAACAGAAACAAAAACCAATAAACCAACCCCCTACTTGGGATGCCTCAGCGACCCCTCCACCCCAAAAGCCTTTCCTTGGAACTCAGGTGACGCCTTAGAGAACACAGATTCACAAGCACTAAATCCTGGATGCAGAGTTTGAGACACGTTAGACAGATCCTAACGCAATTTGAAAGGATTTTTTTTTTTTTTTAAAGAGGTCTTTCTCTTGAAACTAACAGCACTTTCTCTCTTTGTGGGAGACCAAGCTCCAGCCTCGGGCTCAGCCCCTGCGAGTCATGATTCTGTGTAGAACACTGGGGGTGTGGGAACCAGCTCCAGTAAGCCGCCTGGTACTTTTATCACTGAAATTTTTTCATGTGTGTTTCGCCATGCATTGAAAGTTCCTGTCCTTGTTTTCCTCTTTTATGTAGTTGCTATTTTAGACTAAGTGGACTGGTAGGGCATCAAGAACAACACGCACACCTGGCACCGCCAGCCAGTTTGTCTCTCCAAACATCCCTTGCCCCCAGCAAAGGCTTGTCGAGTTCTTGACCCTGGGACGATCCATCCTGCTTTTTCCCTCGCTCGGGGTCTGTCTCTCCCCTCTGTGGCTTAGCTATTTCCCTCCGGGCAGCTTGCACAATGGAAAACCACTGTGTGTATTTTACCATTATTATGTATATATTTGCTACTGTCTCTTCCCCAGACACTGTAAGCTCCAGAAGAGCAGGGATGGCATCTTCTGTTCATCTCTGTGTGCCCACCTGCCTGGTACAGTGGCTGGCACATGGAAGGAGTGGCAAGTACTCATTGAACCAGGTCATGCACAAAAAAAGAAAATGAATGAATGAATGAATGAATGAATGAGTGGGTAAAGGAAAAGCAAGCATGTGGCCTAAAAGAGCTTATAGTCCTGTAAGGGGAGTAAGATGTCCACACACACAAGTGCACACACCCCCTCCCAAAAGAAAAACAGAATAAAATCAAAGGAAGGAAAGGTCGTTTCCAGCCAGGGGCACCCACCAGGAAAGCACCTTGGTTCTTGCTACTTCCTGTTCAATGGAACTCCCTCCCCAGAGTGGGAAATTCTTAGTCAGGCCAGTTAGGTAGATTGCTACGCATGTCTGGATTGTTCAGAGATCCTGAACCAGTGAAAACAACACCCCCATCACACAGGAGTGCCCCCAAAGGCCCTTCCTCCATGCTTGAACCCTCTGGCAAACCCAAGGGTCTGGCGAGATAAAGGAAGTGAAAACTTGATGCACACTGAAACGTGCAATACAGATGTGAGGGAAGATGAGACTTGCTTCATTAAATCGGGTGACACCGGGTGGGTTTTTTGTGCTGATTTTCTTATGCCTGTGGTCCTCATCCTGGGGTTCAAATGCCTGGGGTTCAGCTGCCTCTGCTTCCATCGAACAAGTTTTAGCTTTGCACAGAAGAAAGTTCCGTCCACAGCCAGACTGGGGAGCCACCACTTGGATGTTCAGAGATTCTTTATGTCCTTAAGCTGAGTGTCCTCTGAATGAAATGGGCCTCACCCTGTCCCCAGCGTCAGGATGTGGATCTCCCTCCCCATCTCTCGCTTCGGACCCCCACAGAGTAGTCACCAAAGACCTTGATCCAGTGCATTTAGCTTGGTGCTGAGACTTGCATTGGAAGCAGAGAGGAGATGGAGCACGTCCATCCCTGCCTCGGGCCTCAAGGAAGGTTGGACAGAGCTAGTGGTGGGACATGTGGCCTTCACGAGCCCAAGAAGGGAGTGGAAAGCTGCCCCCGGGCCCTCTGAAGCTGTTCCTCAGCCCAGGCCGATCATGACTTTGAAAAACGAGATTGCCAAAATGAGCAACAATGTAAGAAAAAAGCACTTCATTTAAAAATTAAAAAGTAACATTTTTTAAAAATGAGATTGCTTCATACCCCTCAGACTTGAAACTCAGAGCTCTAGAAGCCTGAAGGGGTCCCTTCTGGACCGAAAGAGCTGTATGAACTTCCACCACAGGCACAGAGGACTCCGAAGGGAGTCGCGTCTTGGGCATCTAGAGGACTTCCGAACACCCTGAAAGCCAGGGGTTCCAAGTTATAAAGGGGGGAAAAAGCAAGATGCTGGGGGCGGGGAGTAGGGGTTTCACCCCAAGTCTCTTGATCTTGAGATGCCAATCACAGCCTCTCCCCTCTGGCAGCCACCAGGAGGTCAGTGGACAGTCTGAACCTGGAGCAGCTGCGGCTCTGGCCCAAAGGGTGCCCCACAGAGGAGAGCTTGACTTCCCAGCCCTGAGGGAAGACCCCAAGTCTAATTCACAGTTGTCCTTCACGCACTGAACGTACGTGTGTCTCCATCACTGAAAAGGTCCAGACTTGAGAAAAGAACCATCAAGACCCCCTCACC